TCTTCGGGACCAATGGATCCGTAATCATTTTTACATCATAAAAGCAAAGTTATATAGGGTTATGAAATATCCACATGCCTGTGAATTCCCCAGACACTTTTTTATCAGAGACAAACAGGAACTTTATGATGGAGATATCACATTTAATTAAATTTGCAGATGTAAAAGAGATTTAGCTGAACGAAAGGCTAATTTCAGCAGAGATCCTGAAATCTTTAAGGGCTTTACCAGCTGTGACCTTCTATAAAGCAGTGCACAGAATGTTATTAGCACCAATTGCAAGAGAATTGTGAAACCACCAAGCATAACCGATACTGACTCTACCAGAGGGCCAACTTTAATGTTAACCTTGAAACTAACTGTAAGAATCTTGAAACTAGATTATGATATAAGAGGGAATGAGGTTCGAGTACAAGGAAACGGAGAAGGAGGCTAGACGTAACGTAACGTTGATATTCATGAACTAGAGAAGAAATTTGAGATTTTATCATTTTAGAAATTGACGGGCATTTTCCATTGAATTACTGAGAAACAGTAGTACATTGACTTAGATAATCTCATTCCGTGGTTGTGGTCATAAATACACGTGGACCTAGGCCTGCTGTAGATATAACTATATACCTGATGTCTGTCCAACTGTTCATTTTCTCGGTCATTTTGCAGCAGTTAGTAGGATATCCGTATGTGACTTGGTCAGCTTTAAATCACGACCTCCACCCATTCGTCCATGTGTTGATGACCATCCCCGACAGGACGTACCCGTCTGATCAGCTGCCGCTGCATTTTTCGTGTAGAGGGAGTTAACTCGTATACCCTAAACAACTTACTGTGTACTGTTTTAGACGTGCAAAGTGCACATGGGTTAGGTTTTTGACTGTGTTTAAATACTCCACAAACAGTGTGGCGGTATGTCTTTGTTTCCTCCTCAACACATTCTCATACATTTGACATGTCACCTCCATATCTTGTGGTCCTCTTGATGGCTATATAGCCAGTCTAGCAGCAGACAATTGTCTATTTAATAGCATCGTGTCTCAAAGATGTCTAGATAGCGCGTGCTGTATCAGCACGAATTAAATTAGATCCAAGTCCGTGGTATCAGTAAAATAACAAAACATTTATATTGCTACCTAACATAAATTGATGTAAAGCCTGACATAATATGACCCTTTTGGGAAATAGATGTACAATTTGACAGCATATAAAGAATCTCCGTTTCAATCATTTTAAAACAATCATTAAATTATATGGCTCCAATGGAATTCTCGTGAAAAGTCAAATTCTCAACAAAAAATAATGTTGTAAATTTGTTTCCAACAGAGACGTCACATTCAGTCTCTAAAACATAAAATTATATAGTGTCTACTTTCAACATTGTATTGGCATCTTTAAATGTGCCGTAATGTAACATATCAGTTAATGAAATGCTGAAAGTGGCCAACCCTTTCCACCATTTTGGTTAGGTACTGATTTACCGAAGTAAGAATGTTAGATCATAGCACGGAATTAGATTAGACTATTTAAGTCCGTAACTTTAGAGACTTTTTGTCTTTCGAAATTTTGAAAATAGACATATAAGCTTATAGAATGTTAACTTCCAAATTATGATCATGATATGACATTCAATTAAACTTTTAAATTTTCAAATACAAATATTCTACTCCGAGCTGAACGAGACTTTCCGCTAGTTCATAATGATCTCAAGAAAAGAATAATTTCATTGAATTGATACATTCATGATTGATGAAAACCATTATTCATTCCGAAGTCTGCCACTACTGTTAAAATAAGTTATCTCCCCTTCTACTCTCAACACGGAAAGTGTGAAAATAGGTAAAATAAATTTCGAGATAATGTTACAGACCTCCTGTTGGTGTTGATCCGTGTTTAAATCTAAACAGTGGGGCACCGTATTACTGTAAATTCCACATTTTCTGATGTCAAAATGATTTTTGTTGTCAAACAGAGACATATAAAGCGATTTTTAGCATCAAAACTGTCAACTTCTGGTACAAAAAAAAGAAGGTTTTGATAACAAAATAATCACTCTTATTTTCTAAAGTCAATGATTTTTTTTTATATAAAAATAACTTATTTTCTGACAAGAGCAAAACGACTAAATGATAAAAAAGCAGAGTTGAATTAAGCAATGCTCCCCATTTCGCTCATGCGTAACACGTTAAACTTTGGCGCGGGCTATTTATGTAACTATGCGCAACAGTACTGCTGCAACATTTTTGCGGGATTAACTAATGTCATTAATAGCGGGAATACGAATCTCTTTTTAACAGGCAGTCATTATTTGAGGTCATGACGGAATAGTGAGCGTAATACCTAGAGTTTCGAAGATGAATGTACTTAAGCTTTTAAGTAAACCAATCATTAATTTCATTATTAAAACATATTGGTTATATTATCTTATTCCAACCTGAATATAAAAATAAGTGATTTTTGTTTTATCAGAAAATCGATTAATACCTGAAAACTGAATAATCATTATCTTGTTTACTATAAATACTTACAATGACTGTCAATGCATTGTTCCTGCGATGTCTGTAAGTGTGTTATGTTTTCAATTCCTTCAGTCCTTGGGCCTCTAAATCACCAGCAGTGAAAGTTTTATATATTGTACCGTTTGGTTCTATCATACAGTTTGTTTTCTGGTGCCTCTAAAAAAAACATAAATGTGCTGTCCCTGTAATGTATGTCTACAGTTTCTTTCCTCCTTGTGCACATCTAAAGGTTTGTCTATTGGACTTTGAGCATATCATCACACATTCTGTACTGTTCTATATGCCTCCCTAGCCTACAGCGTAACATCATTGCTTACTGTGTTACTCCATTGCTTCTTGTGTTACTCCATTGCTTACTGTGTTACTACATTGCTTACTGTGTTACGCCATTGCTTACTGTGTTACTACATTGCTTACTGTGTTACTACATTGCTTACTGTGTTACTCCATTACTTACTGTCATACCCCATTGCTTACTGTGCTACTACATTGCTTAATGTGTTACTCCATTGCTTACTGTGTTACTCCACTGCTTACTGTTGATTCCATTGCTTACTATTTTACTCCATTGCTTACTGTGTTATTTCATTGCTTACTGTGTTACTCCATTGCTTACTGTGTCACTCCAACGCTTACTGTGTTACTCCATTGCTTACCGTGTTACTCCAACGCTTACTGTGTTACTCCATTGCTTACTGTGTTACTACAATGCTTACTGTGTTACTCCATAGCTTACTGTGTTACTACATTGCTTACTGTGTTACTCCATTACTTACTGTCATACCCCATTGCTTACTGTGCTACTACATTGCTTAATGTGTTACTCCATTGCTTACTGTGTTACTCCACTGCTTACTGTTGATTCCATTGCTTACTATTTTACTCCATTGCTTACTGTGTTATTTCATTGCTTACTGTGTTACTCCATTGCTTACTGTTATACCCCATTGCTTACTGTGTTACTACATTGCTTACTGTGTTACTCCATTGCTTCTTGTGTTACTCTATTGCTTACTGTGTTACTCCATTGCTAACTGTGTAACTACATTGCTTCTTGTGTTACTACATTGCTTCTTGTGTTACTCCATTGCTAACTGTGTTACTACATTGCTTCTTGTGTTACTACATTGCTTACTGTGTTACTCCATTGCTTACTGTCATACCCCATTGCTTACTGTGCTACTACATTGCTTAATGTGTTACTCCATTGCTTACTGTGTTACTCCACTGCTTACTGTTGATTCCATTGCTTACTATTTTACTCATTGCTTACTGTGTTATTTCATTGCTTACTGTGTTACTCCATTGCTAACTGTGTTACTACATTGCTTACTGTGTTGCTACATTGCTTACTGTGTTACTCCATTGCTAACTGTGTTACTACATTGCTTCCTGTGTTACTACATTGCTTACTGTGTTGCTACATTGCTTACTGTGTTACTCCATTACTTACTGTCATACCCCATTGCTTACTGTGCTCCTACATTGCTTAATGTGTTACTCCATTGCTTACTGTGTTACTCAATTGCTTACTGTGTTACTCCATTGCTTACTGTCATACACCATTGCTTACTGTGCTACTACATTGCTTACTGTGTTACTCCATTGCTTACTGTGTTACTCCAACGCTTACTGTGTTACTCCATTGCTTACTGTGTTACTACATTGCTTACTGTGTTACTCCATTGCTTACTGTGTTACTCCATTGCTTACCGTGGATTCCATTGCTAACTGTGTTACTCCATTGCTTACTGTGTTACTCCATTGCTTACTGTGGTACCCCATTGCTTACTGTGTTATTCCATTGCTTACTGTGTTATTCCATTGCTTACTGTGTTACTCCATTGCTTACTGTGTTACTCCATTGCTTACCGTGGATTCCATTGCTAACTGTGTTACTGCATTGCTTACTGTCGTACCCCATTGCTCAGTCATAGTTTGACAAAGGGACCAGTTGGTCTTGAAACGTTGCGACATGTTTGATACGTATAGTGTTTGTGAAAAGTAAATTTTTTATAATTTATTTCCAAACTGATGAATATCATTAAAGTTTTGCTTATACTTGATGTGTCGTTCAAGATACTCTTTCATATAATTCATAGTCCCTGTGACCTTGACCTTTGGCCCATTGACTCTTAAAAGAATCATCTTCCGTAGGAGCATCATTAACTCAGAATTGGCTTACAACGAATCCTTTGTTCGAAAGATATTACTCCAAAACCAATATTCTTCGCAAAATTTCAGTATGTTCACCTGGTAACCCAAAAGCTATTGGGCAATTTCTTCTTCCCAAGGGACGTGATTCATCCAGCTTCGGTTTAGATATGAAGTATCGTTCAAGAAAGAGCGTGAATTCAGATACTTGCGATCATGTTAAAAACAATCATCCGCACGAAAACAAGTATTCGGAGATCCTAGATTTACAATAGGTTGATGTTGGGGACGTGGATCACCAGGTTAAAACACGACAGTACACACATACATGTATACATATTTATAGTTTATTGTCAAAATCATGTTTAACTAATGTTTCAAAAAGAATGACAAAACATTTAACATCAACTAGTAGTAATGAGTTAATCTATAAACTGTTCCACCAACAACAACGTCCACTCTAAATTGGCGGTCGCCACGTCACACGTTTTATAAGTCCTTTAACACAATACAGCCCTTATCATGTGTTTCTCTGGAGTCTTCTTATGAGTCACATCAATTAAAAAAAAAAACGATATTTGCTATAAAAACTTTCCAACGTTTTTCTCATTTTATCATTGAAAATTGTTTAAAGGAATCTTTTTTCGTGTGGATATGACGGATTGTGACGAATGTATCCTTCAATGAGGTAACGATGCACCATTTTTAGATAAATGGATGGTTATGCATGTTCATCATTACATTTGAATATGACTCCTATCTTCTTGGGCTTTTGGCGGACGTCCGTTTCGAATCTGTTCCCTTTTTCCCACCCTTCGAGGCAGCAGACGTTCCTTTGATGCTCTTCTTGTGACTACGCCCGTCCTCATCCATGGAAGATGTCGGTCGGACCTCCTGCTTGGGATTCAGGGCATCTGAAGAAAAACAAGAGGTAAGCTGTCATTAAACATAATGTATACTTGTCCGTTGACGTCACGCACCCGAGCTTAGGGCGAACGAAAAATGGACGACACACACATCTGATTACACCTATAAAATCTGAAAAAAGATAGTGTGTCAAAAATTCATTACACTACCTGTATAGTATACAGCTGTTTCGTCTTTCTATGACTCATTGGTGATGCCAGGGGCCAAAAAATGTGGAAATTTACATTTAAATAGGTCTAAAATACTGTTGAGTCGTTTAAAAGTTCTTTGATCTCTTTGTTATTTTATAAATGTCGACTTATGTATAATCGATATTAATTGCGTCTGATTCCTTGTTAGCTAAATGTATAGAACTGGTTTTGTTCTAATGAAAGGAAATTGCGGACTAAAAACTGGCATCTTCATTTTATTTAAAACAACATTTTACCATAATTTTAATTTTGTTTGACATTCAAATTGGATTAATTTTCCGTAGCATCTTTTAGGAGCGATGACATCATTTTTATAGTACCAACTATTGAATATCCATTTATCGTTAGTTGCATTTTGGGTAGTTTTCATACACTTAATTTAAGGGCTTTGATACGGTATTACGGGTTGACAAAATCAAACAGGAAAACAGGAAATTGTTTATTACATGCGGCTTGAAAGCTCCACGAATGAATACAGGTCGGAAGAAACCATCACAAAAGCAAAACGAGTGTAATAAGAATAGGTAAGAGTGTGATGCCACGTTCTAGAAACCCGAAGTATTGCCACCTTATATATTGCTATTTAGTATTGGTCTCAAGTTATCGGTAATAATTATTTAAGCAAATAGAAGCAGGTAAATAAACCGTTCATATATCCAGCTGTCTTTATACAAGTAAACACCATTACAAAGAGATCGTGATCAAACGATCCCTGTGGTAAACAGGCTTTTCGTTAAGGAGAATTGTACGAAATGAGCTCTCACCTGTGAATTCTTTGTTGTGTTCCAGCTCGGTAAGGAGAGGGACGTACACCATACGATCACACTCATGATCCTCCAATAAATCTGCCAACACACAAACCAGAAATTTATCAACGAAAAAACTCCAATAGACCTACCAACACAAACAACGAACCTTATCAAATGTAGTGTCATCGCCAGTAAACATACCGACACACAAAACAGAAATGTATCAAATAAAAAACTACCAGTACAAACCAAGACCTTATCAAACAAAGTGACAACGAAATTGGATATACTAACACACGTACTAGAAATTAATCAAGTGATGAAAACAATCCAGTAGACCTCCCAACAAAAGACACGACCTAACCAAATATCGCCAGTGAACATATAAGCATACAAACCCGGAACTCTTTTGTAGTAATCACAGCTCCCGTAAATCTGCCAGCCTACAGATTAAGACCTGATCAAATAGTTACAACCCCAATAGACCTGACCTATGTCAACTTCATTTTGTCACAACAGTGTACTACAAAAAGATACTTCCTCAGACTGAGAACAATACAACGATTCCAGTACCCTCACCGACATTTCAAACCTATCGACGAGTTGCTATGTTTTGCTATATAACTGCTATTGCTCTGGCGGTGGAAACAAACAAATCGGAAAACATTCACGAAAACTCCAGACCGTGATACAAGTATGTCTCTACTTCTATGGTTCGTTTGTATTGTGTAACGTCCTCACACCACCCAGTGACTATTGTGTACATTTCTTCTATTATAGAACACCTCAAGAGTCTGTATAAAATCAGTCTTCAGCCGTTTTCATGTAATACACGTACTGTACATATACAAAAACACGTTCTCACACAGGAAAAAGAAAAGAATTTCATGTGTTAATGTACTTCTATAAAATATTAATATTTACAGGTGTGTGTTGTGTCTCCATCTAGACAAATGCTATTGTTGACAATATTGTTTTGTGTTGTACAGTATTTCAACTTGACATTGGTGATCACTTATTAATGATATGAACATCATATTCATGGTGAAGTTGCTATAAATGGGCTTTGATATAACGACTTTTCACAGACATGTTCAACGGTAAATCTGGAAAGGGAATGAAAGGAACGAAAAAATGCATCGTGCTTGTATAGACAGGGATATCTCCACGTGGAAATAGCTCTAAGCAATAGAATTTCAAATTGAAAACATCAACAAGATAAATAGTTTTCTTGGAAAGCAACCTTGGTCTGATGAAAAAGACCAAATGGACAATATACACATGTACCGTGACGCTTGTTAAGTCTCGTTTTGATTAATGGATTTGACGTATAAGTCAACATCGAATGGACGTCATGACCGGTTATGAACCGAATCAATTAACTCCAACTAGAAATCCAAAGAAAGAAATCACTTAAAACATGAGAAACATGAGAAATCACTTAAAATATGAGAAACATGAGAAATCACTTAAAACATGAGAAACATGAGAAATCACTTAAAACATGAGAAACAAGTGAACTGGCTGCTTATGTTTAGGTTCTATCTATTTAAAAATACAAACGTAAATAATAGAACGGATGACGCAATAAATAAGATTGGTTTTCTCAAGATAAAGTTTGGATTTAAGATAACGTATTAATTAGAAACGTATTTACTTCTTTTCAACTGAGTTATCGATGGCCGTCAAACTCGAGCTTTTGGGGTAGAAATAAATAGCTATTCAACTAAATATCCTACTATCACACTAAACTACTTACTGTCTACTTTGAGGAGTATGAGAGTCTCTCGTTCCTTTAGGTACTCGCTGCCGTAGTCACACGGGAAGTTCCGAAGGTTCTTCACCACGCCCTTTTCGTCCGATAGCTCCACCACATCTTCAATCATACAGCAAAATATTAGTGTTCATCGAATTGTGATATTAGTAATTGAACTCGGATGTCTCCGTGACTCTTATGTAGTGGTATGGCATAACCCATATAATAGATATGTGAAATGTAAAGCACTGACGAAATCACCTTTACTGTAATTATTCTTTAAGTATTGTTGCAATAAAAAAAAAATAAAAAAAAAGTTCATTGATTGTCTTCTCATTTGCACTGCAGCAAAGAATGAACCTTTTTATCGTTATTTTGTATTGCTCCGTTGAACTATGGACTAAAAGGAAATATAACAAAATATCGAAATCATAAATTGATACATGAAATTAACGCACAATCATTGTTTAAATAATAACAACAATCATTACTGGTATACTGGGCACTATATCAAATCTTTAAATATCGTAAATATGATAACCGGCCGGGGAAACAGTTGCAGGTCAAATTAACGTAGGCAAACATGTTCCCATGGACTATTTGCCGGATAGCGTGAAACCCGATATATCGAAAACTAGACTAAAAAGTCTCGACTATATTTGGTTTGATCGATGATACAGAATATTTATCCCGTTGAAAATATAAGTAAAAGTACTTGTAGATCGTAGTATAAGTATTGTTTAAACAAATCATGATGCAATGCCTACTAGTTAGTCTCTATACAAATCTTCAGAAAACATTAACTGTCTGTCTTTATTGTAGGAAGGTTCATGTAACACAAACAGGTAACAATTAACAATCTTACTCAATTGCAAAATGCTCCTGAATTCATTTGTTGACCTCGTGTGGAAAATATATTAAATCACATTGAAGACAAATTACCGATGACTTCAAATTTATTCAGGAAAAGTTCTATATTACAGTTTTCAGTTATGTTGTTTCATTTATAATAACAATGTGTATCAAAGATTACAACAATCAAAATGTCCAATATTGATAACTTTTCTCATATATGTAGCTGCGTTCGTATTTCGACAGTAGTCAAATATACGAATGACCATGAAATACCAATAGTTCTCGAAAATTATATTCTTCAATGACAAAACATCGTTAGTATAAAAGGATGTGAAATAAAAGGATAAGTTGGTTTTTAATTAGCTTCACAAGAAGATGAGAACCTATCGGCTAGAAGAGGTGAATAGTTAGTCCCAATTTGAGCAATTCCACCGAATTAAACAAAAATGATAATTGATCAAAGGTTAAGCACTGGTGTTGTACTCACCTTCCCGATCCACACACTCACACCGACGCTTAGTTATACTCATCATCCCGATCCTCACACTCACACCGACGCTTAGTTATACTCGCCTTCCCGATCCACACACTCACACCGACGCTTAGTTATACTTATCATCCCGATCCACACACTCACACCGCGTTTAGTTATACTCATCATCCCGATCCACACACTCACACCGACGCTTAGTTATACTCGCCTTCCCGATCCATACACTCACACCGACGCTTAGTTATACTTATCATCCCGATCCACACTCTCACACCGCGTTTAGTTATACTCATCATCCCGATCCACACACTCACCCCGACGTTTAGTTATAACCACCTTCCCGATCCACACACTCCCACCGACGCTTTAGTTATACTTACCTTTCCGATCCACACACTCACACCGACGCTAAGTTATACTCACATTCCCGATCCACACACTCACACCGACGCTTAGTCATACTCAATTAAACAAAAATGATAATTGATCAAAGGTTAAGCACTGGTGTTGTACTCACCTTCCCGATCCACACACTCACACCGACGCTAAGTTATACTCACATTCCCGATCCACACACTCACATCGACGTTTAGTTATACTCCCCTTCCCGATCCACACACTCACAACGACGCTTACTTATACTCACCTTCCCGATCCACACACCCACACCGACGCTTTAGTTATACTTACCTTTCCGATCCACACACTCCCACCGACGCTTAGTTATACTTATCATCCCGATCCACACTCTCACACCGCGTTTAGTTATACTCATCATCCCGATCCACACACTCACCCCGACGTTTAGTTATAACCACCTTCCCGATCCACACACTCCCACCGACGCTTAGTTATACTTATCATCCCGATCCACACACTCACACCGACGTTTAGTTATAATCACCTCCCCGATCCACACACTCACACCGACGCTTAGTTATACTCTCACAACGACGCTTACTTATACTCACCTTCCCGATCCACACACCCACACCGACGCTTTAGTTATACTTACCTTTCCGATCCACACACTCCCACCGACGCTTAGTTATACTCGCCTTCCCGATCCATACACTCACACCGACGCTTAGTTATACTTATCATCCCGATCCACACTCTCACACCGCGTTTAGTTATACTCATCATCCCGATCCACACACTCACCCCGACGTTTAGTTATAACCACCTTCCCGATCCACACACTCCCACCGACGCTTAGTTATACTCGCCTTCCCGATCCACACACTCACAACAACGCTTAGTTATACTCACCTTCCCGATCCACACACTCACACCGACGCTAAGTTATACTCACATTCCCGATCCACACACTCACATCGACGTTTAGTTATACTCCCCTTCCCGATCCACACACTCACACCGACGTTTAGTTATACTCACCTCCCCGATCCACACACTCACAACGACGCTTAGTTATACTCACCTTCCCGATCCACACACTCCCACCGACGCTTAGTTATACTCGCCTTCCCGATCCACACACTCCCACCGACGCTTAGTTATACTTATCATCCCGATCCACACACTCACACCGCGTTTAGTTATACTCATCATCCCGATCCACACACTCACACCAACGTTTAGTTATACTCATCATCCCGATCCACACACTCACACCGACATTTAGTTATACTCATCATCCCGATCCGCACACTCACACCGACGTTTAGTTATACTCACCTTTCCGATCCACACACTCACAACGACGCTTAGTTATACTCACCTTCCCGATCCACACACTCCCACCGACGCTTAGTTATACTCGCCTTCCCGATCCATACACTCACACCGACGCTTAGTTATACTTATCATCCCGATCCACACTCTCACACCGCGTTTAGTTATACTCATCATCCCGATCCACACACTCACACCGACGTTTAGTTATAATCACCTTCCCGATCCACACACTCACACCGACGCTTTAGTTATACTTACCTTTCCGATCCACACACTCACACCGACGCTTAGTTATACTCGCCTTCCCGATCCACACACTCACAACGACGCTTACTTATACTCATCTTCCCGATCCACACACTCACACCGACGCTTAGTTATACTCACCTTCCCGATCCACACACTCACACCGACGTTTAGTTATACTCATCATCCCGATCCAGACACTCACACTGACGTTTAGTTATACTCAACTTCCCGATCCACACACTCACACCGACGCTTAGTTATACTCAACTTCCCGATCCACACACTCACACCGACGCGTAGTTATACTCACCTTCCCGATCCACACACTCTCACCGACGCTTTAGTTATACTCACCTTCCCGATCCACACACTCACATCGACGTTTAGTTATACTCACCTTCCCGATCCAGACACTCACACCGACGTTTAGTTATACTCACCTTCCCGATCCACACACTCACACCGACGTTTAGTTATACTCATCATCCCGATCCACACACTCATACCGACGCTTTAGTTATACTCACCTTCTCGATCCACACACTCTCACCGACGTTTAGTTATACTCACCTTCCCGATCCACACACTCACACCGACGTTTAGTTATACTCACCTTCCCGATCCACACACTCACACCGACGTTTTGTTTTACTCACCTTCCCGATCCACACACTCACACCGACGCTTAATGTGATGTAGTAGCACCTCGTTCCTACAGTTAGCGTTGAACATCCTGCTCTGGTGATCTACGGAACAGCGAACAGAGTATATATTATAATGTTCATTTCAACATATTTTATTGTTAATACGATGCAATGTAACTTACGAAACAGAGTTTAAATTGACACACATGTATGAGCAACCTATAAGACAACAGGCTTTGCGTATATCAGTCTTCTCCTATAATTTGGTATATGTTTCATAAAGTACTTGTTTTTAATATAGAAAAAAAGGAAAGAAATTTAAAGCTGCAATATATTTTAGAAGAGTAAAACAAACACACGTTATCATGTCATATATGTAGTCAAACTGACAGAGTACGGCCAAGACAGAAAAAATATCCCTCCCTATTAACGAGCTTGATCATATGGTCGTTCACTGTTTATTATATCATTGTCATTGGTTTTTGGAGGGGGGGGGGGGGTCGTCGTTTTCCAAAATATCAGCATCTCTGACAACTAACAATTACCGTTCCATAGAAAACTTAGTGTGCAAAAATGTCAGTAAGATGAAATGTGAACGATGAAACATAAAAGCTTCTAAACTGGAAAGTGTGTCTGCGAAACGACTTGTTGAGTTGACAATTTATTTTGATATTGATTTATTCTAAATAATATTTTTTTATTTCTGATACGATTTTAAATTATGGATTATATTGCAAATCAAACGAGGTGAGGCTATTGAAGAGATGATAAAGGGTAAGTATGTATCACTTATAACTGATAAAACGCTCGTGATGACAAACTTGTTCGTCGGTACATTTTGCCTTTACTATCGTGCATGTTTACAGAATGACATGTAGGGATACGGTCAGACTCCATTTATTTCCGTCAGTATGACTCCGAAACTTGTATCTGTATCATTATTTTGGAAGTTCCGCCTACCGTTGATTAAACGGATCATATACAAGTTTTAGTTAACTTGAAAGGTATAATGATGTTTATGAAGTAAACTATTTTGAGAAAATAGTGTTCATCAGTTGACTGTTTGGAATTAGAACAAATCAACTCCAATATTATCATACGGATAGCCCTTAAGTACATTGTGTGCGGTAAGCGTACTGGCATTGTTTAACAGGTAATTGTGTTTAATGGTCTAAATTGGTAAAAATATCGATACTTTCGACATGAACTTAAAAATTCTATGTATAACTATTACTTATCGAATAAAAGCTCGAGTGGTTTGTATGGCGTTTTTCGCAATATACGATCGAGATATAGCGAGATAGCATTTAGTATTAGCAGACAGGTAACTTCGACCATATAAATGGTATAGTACATTATAAATTAGCCTTTGGTCCGTTTAACACGTAATACCAGGGTAGGCATAGGGGTACGGGATTGTACACTGTCGGTTTGTTGTTTATTAATTAGTTGAGCCTGTATTGATCTATGGCCCATATACACATAAACCTAAGTGGTAGGAACAGCCTTTGCTCGATGTTTTAAATATATATTCCTCTCATTTTTATTGTGTTTTATAACAGTTAAATGTATTTTCCAATCTCTTCAAGGAATACGGGAGAACTGTTTTCCCATTTATGTTTTTTTTATGAATAGCACGAACCGTACATAGTTTGACATTTCAGATGAACACGTTTGTAAGTTAACCATACTTGTAATGACGGTGTTAATAAGTTAATTAATCAGTATCCATGCCATGAGGGTTTTGATTGAAAGGTAAATACGAACCTTCTGTTCAATAGTACACCTATAGAGTTTGTCAATCACTGGCGTTTTCACACTGGGTTATCGCTTTTATAGTACATACAATACATACTCCGATTGACCTCCTAGCTCCTACCTAGTTCGACAGTCATCGGAACACAGGACCTTTGTCCTTACCATACGTCCCTCCCCTCCCGTTCACGCCTAGTAAGGTTTATGAACTGACTCTTTAAAATAATCAGGCTTCTCCTTTCCACAAACACACTTTGTAATTTCTGCAGAACGTGATTAAAAAATCAAAAAACCCGTTCGTCAAAAATATGTAAAGCCTGTGCGGATATCAAAAACATGCCCACTTAGGGTCGATCCTTTTACCGCCAGATAATCAGAATTAATATTTGTTTAGTCAGAAACTTCGTTCTTTAGACAGACACGTGAGATCTATTAGTGCGATAGTAATCTGTTTTGGTTGTATATACTCGAAACACTTGTAATTGGAAATGAAAAAAAGCCGCTAGCATTTATGTTATGTATTATTTCCATTGGAGGTAAGCTAGTTTTCGTCATTTAACAGACCTCGTACATACCACTTACAAACACCGTATCGATTAAAAGCCGAGATGATTTACGTTTAAATTAAAGTAAACTATCATGGTTAAATGGATGTGCGTGAAATTGGTCGATGCCTGGATTGAATCGCTTGAATACAGGTTAAAGGGTAACATCGATTCATCGTGTTTGACTTGAAATACCTGTCTAAGTCGAACGTAAGACACATGACTGAGATTGCACCTACGAAACCTGGTCATAGACACAGTACATCAGGGTAGTACTACACTGCCCAATACAGCTGTTTCGTCCTTCTGGGACTCATCGGATGCTAGGAGCGAAAAAGGATGACATCCAAACTGTTCTTAAATGTTGTTGAAACAGAAGGAAGATGAGTAAACCCACTTTAGATATATCTTAAAAATTAGATTGTACTGGTTAATTTCGAAATTAATTAATAATAAAGTGTGTATTTTATGGACCGTGCCACTACTAAAAAGAGGTAATTGAGGCTATCAAGGTTACGGTAAACCTCGGGGAGTCTATAGGTAGATATGTATCTAGTGACACCTGTTAAATGAAGATCTGTATCTTAATGAACGTTATGTAAGGATATACCTAACGGTAAGGGTACCGACCCGTTAGCTTTACGTAGATAACGGGGGACAAATAGATTTGTGTTAAAGGTTACGAGTTACAAGGACATTGCTGAAATTGTAAACACGTCATACCATGAAAAAAAATACACAGTGTATCTCTGAATACAACGTGCAGGATAGATTACAAACATTAATTAGAGTATCTCTTAATATAGTCCAAATTATTCTGACGGTTTATCGACTTTTTTCATATCGGTCTGTCGTTAATCGACGACAGACCGATATGAAAAATGTCAATAAAACGTCAGAATAATTCGGACTACTCTTAATACAAATACGATAGAAAAACATTAATTAGGGTATCTCTAGATACAAACACGACAGAACAAAAACATTAATAAGATTATCTCTAAATACAAACACGATAGAGAAACATTAATTAGAGTATCTCTAAATACAAACACATGCATGGTATGATAAAAATGTTAAAGAGGGTAGCTATGTTACGCTTATACTTCGAGTAGACAATGTATGATACTGTAAAGTATTTTTACTTTGGACATATATAAAGCCGCGGAATTAGATTAAAGTCCGTGATAAAGCTAAATGTTATAGACAAGATCAATCGGTTTTTCAAAAATACGTTTTGTATAGAAGACTGGTGACATTCAAAGACAGAGAAACGCGACATGCAATATAAGGTTGTCTTATTGAAACACTAGAACATAGATAATAAAATTGCATCCATATGTCTCATCATAATTGTTGCATACAGATTTATGAATGCGCTTCTGTACAAAAGAGTTCAAACAAACCCGTACTGATCATATCATAACTTGTAAGATCAATCCGTTTCAGTTTTCTCTACAGAATCATACATAAATGTGTTGCATTGTTTTCAATACCATGTGCTAGTATCAAATTTTAAGACTCAAGAAATTAATTTTCACATAAGGCATATAACATTGCAGTGTATTAACAAAGGACAATGACTGAGCATTATCGGAGTATAGGACGGGACAAAAGAGCTATCGCTGACCATTATCTGTGTAACAATGACAATCAGCACGGGGTATCTTATCTGATAGGAAGGCGCCCGTCCGGCACAAAAATACATGTCTAAGGGGGCACAACTTACCTCCATATTTCACAATAACAAACATTTCGGCAGTATTCAACGCCGCGCACACGTTAGGTATGTTTCTTTATAAATCAACACATTCTGGTCCTTTTAGCGAATAATCCAAATTACGATCCACACATGGTTCCTCACTAAAACGAAACCGACAAAACTGAGTTTGTCGTTCAGTGTATACGTCTCTCACTAACACTCAACAGTCAGGCTTCGGACGTGCCGAAATCCAAGTAACATATAAACCCGTTAATCTTCAGGTGGCGTCATCGGGCGTAGATATTTTATGTACGTAACCCAGTCAATGGTCCTCGGGTATATAAGTTGTACGTCTAGGTACATGTAAACCTCTACTTCACACTCTGATGCTACCCGTCCCGTTATGTAGTAGTGCTGTTGTCTATAGATGTTAAAAGTCTACCCTTAGGTACTGTGTATCAGCACACGCTTGTGTAACCACTAAACAAATAGACTGGACAATACTCCCAGCGACACAATGGCCGAAACGCGTGCCACGTGGGAACAGTCCTCGTCAGAGTTTGTCAATAAAGCGTTTGTTCATGTTAAATTCAGTATACTGTTTGCTACTGTACGTACCGACTATTGTTTAAGTTTTTGTTGACTAGAATGGCTCATAGACGCCCTGTTATACAGCAACTGTAACCAACACACGGATTTAGAGGCGTAACGTGGTTGAAGTTGTGTCAAGTACGTTTCACAATACAATATGTCGATTTCTGCCTGCTAAACAAGAACACTCGAAATCCAGCCTATAGACCCAATAATAACGACAAAAGAATCTCTAATCAATGCACAATGTCAAGATGTTCGATTCGATCAGATTTCTGGAATGTTGTCGGATAGAAAATGAACCATTACCGTTCCAGATACGTTCTTCTGTGTAGTTTTTGTTATATATTCTTCATAACATTGACTGTTCACGTCAGCTGTATACCAGAAAATGTTTCTCTTTGTCAGCGTCCACAGCGTTAACAGTACGGGAACCCAACTCAACCAAAGCGTCCACAGCGTTAACAGTACGGGGACCAAACTGAACTAAAGCGTCCACAGCGTTAACAGTACGGGAACCCAACTCACCCAAAGCGTCCACAGCGTTAAGAGTACGGGAACCCAACTGAACTAAAGAGTCCACAGCGTTAACAGTACGGGGACCAAACTGAACTAAAGCGTCCACAGAGTTAACAGTATGGGAACCCAACTCAACCAAAGCGACCAAAGCGTCCACAGCGTTAACAGTACGGGAACCCAACTGAACCAAAGCGTCCACAAATGAAGTGATGTGTCAATAGTGTGTTGTATTGGCTAATCATCATCTTACCTCAATGTGTTTCTACACCATCCATTCATCATCTATATATCCACGTGTTTCTTGTATGTTTCTTCCATAGATTTGAGCAACCTCCTCGGCGGTAGGAGTGGAATGCCGATCCCAGTTTACTGGTGCAGAATCAATGACAAAAGATAAAGCAATTTCTTTTCTAGAATTGATTTCCAAATATATATAAATTAATCAACCACATTGGTCTATATTTCATGGAACAATATTTCCGATACACATTGTGTGGTACTGTGAAGCAATGCAGGTGATTTTCAATCTCTGGTCTTGCTCAAACGATTTTTACTTAGCGACGCGAAATCAATTTCCTTTTTTGCCCACTTAATGGAGCGTTTTTATTCCAATTGATAGATGGCTGAGTAGCGTTATCTGTCATCCTCTGGGTAAGTGCACAGGTGAAGCTTTATCTGTGGCCCATTTGGTACGCATACATGGAAGGTTTATCTGGTAATTTTTGTGGCAAAGTATATAGACTGTAGTTTTATATGATGCCCACCAGGTAACATTTTTAACAAACCTACTCGAATTGCAAGTGAGCTTATGCCGTGGCGCGCTGTCGTTCCTTCATCTTCAACTTTTCATTTAAAACACTACTTATCCAAAATGTCTTAACGAATTGTGACCATATTTGGTCTGGCGCATCCTAGGACCAAGAGGACTCAACGTTGTATAAAAAAAAACTCTTGGTGCTGGAGGAATGGTCCCAAAAAAGTTTTGAATGTACACTGTCATTCTTAAAAATAATCCCCATTATAAAACCACATACACACAGGGTCGGCATGAAGGAACAGATATACATGCATGCTACCAGGACTGTCCAGGGACCCGGCCTCAACCCTATGGACTTCGTCATATTATGGAAGTAGTTGAGATCCCACCATATAACCATGTTATGCAATTGCTATATATGAAAAGCATACGATTATTCTATCAATATTACCTCATTATCTTGTCGACCTCTAGAGGCTTAATCACGTTCAAGTCTCGTTTTGATCTGGTGTAACGGTTTTCGTAACATTTAACAAATTATGATCAAGTTAAAAAGCAAACATGTATCTGAAAAATAAATTTTAAAAACTAGATACCTGTTGTTTGTAGAACTTTTTTTACAAGAATTCTAAAAAATGACCATTTCGTCGGCCATTTTGAAATGTGTATTAATGTGTATTTTTTGCGCTTCACAAAAGGCCAAAATCTCACCTTTTTCGACACTTGATTGATCACTTAAATTGTCATTGTTTCGCCATTTATAATTGTAGCAGGTTCAATTTTGCTGTAAATAACACAAATAATAATGGGACAAAAAAGGAAGCACACGGACCCCCCATTTTTGTGGCTGTTTTAAAAAGAGAAACACGTTTTCTTTTGATTCATTAAATATTAAGTGTTTGATAGCAGAACTTTTTGTATCAAGCGTTTAATCTGCAAACAATTGTGAAAAAATTAATAGGGGTAACTTAAATCGCCTTTCTGAGTTAAAAGAACAAGAGGCCCATGGGCCTTAACGGTCACCTGACATCCGATTCAAATTAGGACTGTCATCCAGGGGCCAATTCATACTTTTCGTCGGTCCGAGTGACCTTGCTGCATCGTCCATTACTTTTTCCTTGTGAATTCAATAACTTCAGTAAATATGAACCGATTTTGATGAAACTTTGTATGCAGCTTATCAATGAGATCTTGGATGAGTTTGATTACCGGACCAACTTACATAGTTATTCCCCTTGGTAGTTCTATTATTGTTGGACCCTGTGAACACCATAACTGAAATAAATGGGTGCGACTCCAATTTTGACCCAAGGGATCTGTTTTGAACAAACTTGGTAACTGTATGTCTTCTGTTCTTGGTTAAAAGAAACAAGTAAGAGCGTGAATTAATGTTTTATTAAATAAGGCACAAAATTTTAATAGCACTTTGTTAGTAGCAAAAATGCACCATGAATGAAAAAAAGGTGTACCACATGCATTTACATCTATTCTTGTGTAATGTCAATCAACATCACAGGGACAAATAATAATATAATGACAAAGGGCAATAACTCTGCAGGTTACCGTCAAATACTTACCGTACAATGTTTCATTGAACTCCGTCAACATTTATTCCAGTTATCGTGTTTACAAGGTCCAATAATAATATTATTACAAAGGGCAATAACTCTGTAGGTTACTGTCAAATAATTCCCAGTTTCGAACTCATCAGAGATCTAATTGATATAAGGCTACATAAAGAGTTTCATCAAACTTGGTTGATATTTCCTCAAGTTATCGTGAACACAAGGTCAAATACAAAATAGTGTAATAATATTATTACAAAGGGCAATAACTCTGTAAGTTACTGTCAAATAATTCCCATTTTCCAACTCATCCGAGATCTTATTGATATAAGGCCGCATACAAAGTTTCATTAAACTTGGTTGATAATTACATAAGTTATTATGTTCACAAGGTCCAATAATAATAATATTACAAAGGGCAATAACTCTGTAAGTTACAGTCGAATAATTCCCATTTAGAGTCCGGGATCTTATTGATATATGGCTGCATACAAAGTTTCCTCAAACTCGGTTAACATTTACTCAAGTTCTCGTGTTCACAAGGTCCAATAATAATAATATTACAAAGGGCAATAACTCTGTAAGTTACTGTCCAATAATTCCCATTTTCGAGCTCGTCCGAGATCTTATTGATATATGGCTGCATCAAACTCAGTTAACATTTACTGAAGTTATCATGTTCACAAGGAAAAGTTAACGCACGACAGATTCGACGGACAAAAGGCTATCACAATAGGTTACCATGACCTATGGTCAGCAGTGGCGGATCCAGAGGGGTTTTTTGGGCTTCAGGAAACCCCCCCACTCTGAGAATTTTCTTTAAAAATCATGTATTTTCACCACTTTCCTCAATTTTTCCAACATGGAAACCCCCCCAGGAAATTTGGAAACCCCCCCAGATAGGTCTCTGGATCCGCCACTGGTCAGGTAACCTATTAAGTTTAAGAAATTTTACTTCCATAATTTAAAAGAAAATAATATTTTTATCAATTCAACAAACATTCATACATATCTGATAACACACTTGGAAGAAATTGTATGAAATTGTTCTGCAAATGGTCAAAACCACAAAAATCACCTAAAAAATGTTGTGTAAAATATGTATCTTTGACTGATCAAAGCACAAAAACGAACACACGGACATATATGTTTTTTGGCATTTTCTACTATGCCATTAACTCCTTTTTTCCAAAAATCCTTATAAGAAAAAAAGTTTAGTACAGGAACTTTTTGACTTTAGGTGTACATCCTTAAGATGATACCATGGAAACGTTTGAGATCTACAACCATATAACTGCTTGCTGAGCATGTAGAGATGAACATGACCATCTTAGCATGATAACTACAAGAGCGTGGTCCCAAACCTGGGGATTTGACCCCTGGTTCATTACTTGAAAACGGTTGAGGTCCCCAATGCACAATCACATTAACATATATGCCAAACTCAACCAAATTGATCATGGAGCACTCTCAGACTTGGGGACTTTTAGACTTGAATACCAAAGAAAACAGGTGGGGGACACAGGCCCTATTGATGGGGAGTGCACAAATGTACAATATTTGTCAATGTCTGATCAGTATATATATGTAGCTTTTTCTGTCGTCCTCTGGGTAAGTATATATATGTAGCTTTATCTCGTCCTCTGTGTAAAATATCAAAAACAACATTCATTTATCCAACATTGTTTACCTGTCACAGAAATGCTTCATGGCAAATACAAATAAAAACCCTGTCAACCATTCTTTAAGAGGCAGTCTTTGGAACTAGAAAAATTCTGTAAAATATAAGTGTCCTGCGGCCATGTTTACATATAATGATATTCATTGTTTGATAATATTATTATAAAAAGTTAAAATGACCTTGGCCTTGATATTCAGTCCAATAAATCACACACTCTTGAGGTTTTCTCATACTTGACCTTTGTACAAAGTTTCATTAAAATCTGTTCAGAAACAAAGTTGCTATAGTAATGACACTGAATCACTTGAACAATTTCTATGAATAACAAGCGGCCTATATTGGTCACCTAGATAATTAAGCAATCAAGGCACAATGTTTTCATTGAAATTAGTATTGCAAATAAGAATAGGTCGAATCCCTGGAGCCAATATTGGAAGCAAATATGTATCCAAATATACATACTAAGCAATTGTATAATAATTATATTGCTGTAAGGAGAGAATTGTTGATCTCTTCATGATTAAGAGGTGTGGATCTCAACAACCTCCATGTTATAAAAGCATAAGTTGCCAGGGGTGGGACAGATACAAAGGCCAATCCTGGTAGCGTTTCTCCAATGACCCACCTCCCAGGTGGCAACAACAAACACCCATAGGCTGTTCACAATGCACCGGCCTGCACCAGTGATGCCATTTAATTATCAAATTCATAACATTTACACAAAAACTTCCATCGTCCTGGTCCATTACTATCAATTAAAGTTCTCTTTCTCGATGTTGATTCTATTCTTCCTTTAATTCTTCTATCTCTCAATCTTTTCTTTCTTAAAAACAGTACATATCATAATTATATGCAGCTACACTTTTAACTACATAGAGCATAAAATAAAAATTATGTATCTTTAATATAGTGTTAGAATTTTTGCTGATGACTAGAAATGGAATGAGTGTATGTATGTTGTATGGAAAAATGAATTGTAAATGTATTATGTACTATTAAAAAATCTTCAAAAATAAAAGGATTTAAAAAAATTA